GGTAAGCGACCGTGTTGCTGTATACACACACGGGCTCCTCGCAACTGTGAGGAGCTTCCTGACGAAGTGAGAACGAATTCGCCTGGCAATCGTTGTGGTCATGTGTCCCAGCTGAGACCCACTTCTGCTGGGCAGCAGTTGGATGGGCAGAGAGGCACGCCCGACGCCCCTATCATGTCGTGTAACAGTTGAAGGGGGGCAAGGGGGCCCAGACCCACTTGAAAGACAGAGCGGTCAGGACGCGAACGTGGTAACATGTTGCCCGAGTCCTCTTGACAATTCTCTTTCTCTCTCTCTCTCTCGCTCTCTTTCTCTCTCTCTCTCTCTCTCTTTCTCTCTTCTCTCTGCAGCCTGCAAGAATCTGGGCGCAGCGGCTTACGTCTAAGACTTGCTGGATATGGCGTTTTCAAGGTGCTCACCTGTCAAGCGACTACTGGTAGGCTCGGCGGTGTCCTCTTCAAGTTTGACAGTTCGAGCATGAGATGCCGGCTCATGCACTCAGTCGCCGGCGGACTCGAGATCCTTTGAAACATAGAATGCTCCTCCCGGATCGTCTTTTGGTGAGCCTGGAACCTGGAAGCGGCTGTCCCGAGGCCGGAAGTTGGCAGCACGCTCGCAGTTCACAAGCAAGCGCGACGCCAGAGGTCCAGGGCCCTGCCCCGACAGCGAAAGGGGGCATCTCTGCAGGTCGCGCCAGGCCCCTCCAGGAGGCCGCCCTCGCCAGCAGCTCTCTTGCTGCGCCTGCGGGCTCCCGTTGCAGCGCCCTGCTGGGCGCGGATGTCCAGGTGCGCGGGCGCCCTGGACGTTCGGCTACGGGCAGGGCCTGCGACCGCGTCTTGGCTTGGATTGCTAGCCGTGGTCGCGGGAGTCGTCAACGGAGCCGGGCTGTGCTGCGGCCCCGCGACGCTGCGTGGCTCAGCTGCCCGCGATGCCGCACATGTGATCCTTCGACGGGCCGTTCGAGGGTGTTTGGCACGATTGTTTCTGCTATCGCTGGTGTGTAGGCCGGCGCCTTTCCATGCTGCTACCTATGGCGGGCCGCGCCCACCTCCAGAACCCAGGGACTACGGACGTGCCTAAGTTTCTATCAGGTGTCTTTTCGTACCCGTGTGATCCGTGGCCAGCCCCACGGCATGATGCAGTATGGAGACGTGCGCCGCCTCATAGGGTGGATAACGTGTGTCCCGTGGCGGGACTTGCATTGCGCCTCCGGGCGCTACTCCTCCCATGCGCTTCGCGATTCCGACTGGTGGGTGACGGGGCGGCCGCTCTGTTTTCTGCCTTTTCTCGGTTGTCCCGTGTCTTGCGGCCCTTTCCGCAACCGTGCCTCCGGGGGCCCCTAGGGGTTCTGCAGGGGGGCTCTTGGGGGCTTCCACGGGCGCTTCGTTTCGTCTTGGGTGGGCATGCTCTTCGGCCTCTGGCCTGACGCACCATCTGAGACTGAAAATGCTACATGTGTATGTGTGCTTTCCGAGGTATTCTGCTCTTTGATGCTCGTGCGGCACATCTGGGAGCGGCACGGAAGTCCGTGAGATGACTGTCCCCAGCGCTTGAGAATCTACATCTTGCCCTCGAACACCCGCAGTTGGATGAGCCTGGGGGCACTCCACTTCGCGCTCAAGGCGCGATTGCGGCTTTGCTTTCGCATGTCTCCTTCCTCAAAACGTTGCTCGCACTTGCGGGCTCTTACCTCTCTTCTGAAGAACTGGGCCCGTCTGCGGCCCCGTTCTCGTCCGTTGCCGCCCCATGCTTCCCAATGGAAGGCCCGACTGGGGCCCGGCGGCCCCGTTCCCAACCGTGGCCGCCTCCCCATTGCACCCCCCCTCGTTGCATGGCTTTCGGCATCGCAAGCGCATTGCGTTGCACTGCTCTGCATTGCTCTTCAATCGCATTGCATATGCAATCACACTGCGCCGCATTGCAATCACATTGCGTTGCATGGATTTGCACTGCATTGCAGTGCATTGCGTTGCTTTATTTTCCTTCTCATTGCTTTGCGTTGCTTTGCATTGCGTTGCATTGCGTTGCATTGCTTGGCTGTGTGTTGCCTTTTGCCACATGGATTGCACCACATGGACTACGCCGCATGGAGTGCATCACCCAGATTGTACAGCAGATGTTGGGCTGCATAGATGGCAAGAAAGCACGGTTTGCGGTTGATGCTGGCTGCTATGGTTTCGTTAATGCGTTTCTAATGTTATGCGTATTCTTGATCATTCCTCCATGATTTTCCCTTGCCAGTTCCTGTTTCTGTCACCTTTCCCCCTCCCCTTCTCATTCGTCTTCCCCTTTTCTTTCTCTCCTCCTGCTCCTGCTCCTGGCACGATGGGGCGCGTTCCCTGTCTTGCCAGAGCCCCCCCCCCCCGCCCTCCGTCCCCGCCCCCCCCTCCCCCCCCACCCACGCACCCCGCTACACAGGAACGGTAGTGGCCAAAACCAGTGGCCCTGCTCGCAGCAAGCAGACGACGGCGGCGCAGGCTGGCAGCGGCCCGCAGAGGGCGGAGCGACGGAGAATGGGGGGGGGAGAGGGAAGGAGGGGGCAGAAGGGATGGGAGATGTGGGAGGAGAAGGAGAACGGTGAGATGGGTGAGGAGGAAGAGGAGGAACACCAACGAAATCCGAGGATGCGACAGACATGCTGCAATACGCCCTCCCGTTTCAAGTCTTTCCTCATGATTCCCCACGTTGTGTCCTTCGTCACAGAAGAGAGCACCCGCTTGAAAGACGACGGCCCCATGGGCATGCCAACGAGGCGAGAGTTCCGTTTTGAAGCGGATGTATATTGCATACATATTTCGAGTTAAAAGGGATGCGAAGAGAGATATATAGAGAGAAAGAGAGGGAGAGAGAGAGAGAGAGAAACGTGACATTCAAGGAGGTATCCTACGAGCAGCAGCTCGCACTCATGGTCATACAATGCGAAGACGCTCTAAGCGAAAACCCTGCTCCGAAAACGGGTCGCTCTCCGTCCTTGCAGTTGTTGTATGCACTTCCATGTCTGGTGCTAATTCTGAAGATGTCTCAAGAATGACGTGTTCAGCATGAATTCTCTTTATATTCGTACACGTGTTCGTTTCTAGTATGCTGTTCTGAGGTCTCTTCTCCCCTTCCTCCGCCTCCTCCTCCTCCTCCTCCTACTCCCCATCCCTCTCTCTATATCTATCTCTATCTCCGTCTCTCCTCCTTCTCGTTCCTCGCTCCCCCTACTCCATCCTCCTCCTCCTTCTCCTCCTCCTCCTCCTCCTTCTCCTCCTCATTCTTCGTCCTCCTCCTCCTCCTCCTCCTCCTCCTCCTCGTCACTACTCCGTCTCGCCCTGCCCCTCCTCCACATTACTGTGCCGGCATGCGTCCAGAATGAGCTCGGCGTGTGCGGCGAGAGAGGGAGACAGTCGGGCACATCTGCCCGTTGCGCTCGTGCCAGGCCCATCACTGTGCCGCCTCCCGGCTGAAAAAATGCAGGAGGCGCGGGAAGCTCAGCAGAGGTCCCGGGGGGCACGGGCGCGGTAGTCTGTCGCCGTCGGCCGCGGAGGAGGGCGCGGCGGGTCCAGGGGCCAGAAGTCCAGGCGGCGGGGGGTCCCGCACAGAAAAAGCCTGGGCGGGCGGGCCGGGGGGCGGGGCAGGCCAGGGGTCCTCCACGGAAAGCCCAGTGGCATGGACTGTGGAGCGGGCGAGTTCGCGTCCAGAAGCTCGGGGTGTCCTCCGTGTGCGCGTGTGCCTTCCCCGTTTTCCTTCTGGCACTGGTGCGCGTGTGCCTTCCCCGTTTTCCTTCTCTTGCCCCCCCTCCTCCTCCTCCTCCTCCTCCTCTCCCTCTTCCGGCTGCCCTCTTCGAGCCAATCTGGGGTGGCTCCGGCACGCAGCCTAATACCTGTCTTGCCGCTTTTCGCCACGGAGTGCACAGGAGTCCATGTGGTGCGTCGCGGTCGCCCCCTTCCTCTTCAACAAAAAAAAGAAGCTCGGGGTGCCAGATCAGGGGGTGAATGACACTGGGCAGGGTTTCCTCTCATGTGCCTCTGGGGTCGGCGGTCATACTGGCCCGTGGGTTGACCGAGCGGGGTGTGAGTGCTCGTTGGACAGTTCTGTGGGGCAGCCTTACCTGGTCCGCCTCTCTCCGCGCTCGTGCCCCGTGTCTTTTCTCACGCCTTCTTCTCCTTTCTCGTAAGGATGCAATGAGCTGGGAAGGTCTGCTTCTTACACAGTGGTGGTTGAATATATAACCAGCCCTGTCGCTCCCCGCTCGTGTCCCCTCCCGCCGCCTTCACTTTTTTCCTTCTGCCTCCTTGTCGCTCCCTCTCGGCGTTCTGTGTGTTTTGTGTGTGTGTGTGTGTGTGGTGTGCGTGTGTGTGTGTGTGTTTTTGTTTGTGTGTGTGTGTGTGCGTGCGTGCCATCTGCGTCGGGCTCGGCACGCGCCTTGCCCAGCTACGACCTGTTGAGCTTCCCCTGGGCCTACCTTGTTTTTTACGTCTCCCACGCAGCCAGCATCGGGCAGTGCCACACGACCAGCCAGCTGAGTGCCCCAGCGACGCCAGAGAGTGTGCGGCATCGCCTGGCCTCGAGGCTGCCTCCAGGGTGTGCCGCGCCGAGGCCGTGTCCGCCGCGCGCCCCCCGCAGACGCCATTCCGGGCGATCGCCTGGCCAGCTCCTCCTGCTTCTCTCCCTCCCTTCCCCTCACCACTCTCCCCCCCTCTCTCTCTCTGTCTGCCTCTCTGTCTCTCTGCCGCTCTCCACTCTCTCCCTCTCTCTCTCTCTCTCTCTCTCTGTCTCTCTCTCTCTGTCTCCCTCGCTTTCTCGTCTGTTTGCAGCTCCGTGCCCGCCTGCCCGCGCTGCCTGCGGCCACCCGGCCGCCGGGAGCCGTCCAGCCAAAGGCAGTGGGACATCGCTGGCCGCGTGGGCCTCGGAGATCGTCCGCATGCAGCGCACTGGCTTTGCGTCCCGGGCCACGGCGCGCATGGCTTTGCCTGTGGAAGGTCGGTGTGAGTGGGGCATCCCCGGTTTGCCTTGCGATGCTTCGTGTTGTGGAGTGGTTGATGCTGGACGGGGTGATGGGGAAGAAAAGTCAGCGGTCTCGTCCCTCTCGCCGCTCTCCCTCCCCCTCTCCTCCCCTCCCCCTCTTCCCTCCCCCCTTTCCTCCCCTCCCTCCCGTGCTCGTTCCCTCCAGTGTTCGCTCCCTCTCCCCTCCATCCCTCGTTCGCCCTCTTCCTTCCTGACGCGTCGGGGGGCTGTTGTACAGAGGACGCGCGGAAGGCGCTTCGCGGGACCAAGAGGGAGGTTGCACCAGCTCGTTCTGTCCCCTCGGGATCCCGAGACAGAACCTCGCCCAGTATGATTCGCCCTCCCTTTCTGTCCTCCCCCGGTTTCTTGTGACCCCTCCCCCCCCCCCTCCGCCACTCTCCCCCTCCTCCCCCCTCCCTCCTCCCCCCCTCTCCTCCACCTCCCTCCCTCATTCTCTGCCCCGCGTCCTCCAAGTTTTTAACCTCTCATCCGTCTCGTTTTCTCGCTTTTCCTCCCTCGCGGACGCGCGAGGCAGACCAATTAATCAAGGTGAAGGGGCTGGACAAGCAGCAGCTTTGCGTGGACCTCCTGATGGTCGGCCCTGTTGAGACAGATCGACAGAGTAAGGACCGTTCAGTGACGAAGGGGGGGGAGGCACGGGGAGGGGTAGCGAGGGATCCGAGGGGTGAAAATATGGGAGGGGAGGGGACGGGAGGACCAGGGGGAGGAGCAGGAAGGGGATTTCCGTTGCACGACGCTGCGCTCAGATGGGGGAGTCGATCCGTGAACTTAGAGGGGAGAGAACATGAGAGAACGGCGGCCCAAGTGCACCGAGGTCGGTTGCGTGCAGTCCTTTGTGGACTTCTTCTACATCACCCACCGGAAGGCAGCATCCCCTCTGCGCCCCGGCTCCGCCCCTCCCCTCCCGTGCCCTCATCCCTTCGCTCTCCCTCGCCCCCGCACCCCCCTCCCCTTCTCAACCCCTCGCCTCCCTGGTCCCCCCTGTCTTCTTCGACCCCCCCCCCCTCCCGTCCCCTCCCTCTTCCCTCTTCCCCTCCACGTCCTCCCTCCCTCGGTGCCTCCCTCCTTCCCCCTGCCCCCCCCGAAGTTCCTCGCTGCCCTTGTTTCCGCTTGCCCACGATGCACAGCGCGGGTGCGCTCTCGCACGTGCTCCCCCGAGTCAGCGGCGTAAAAAAACAACCCAAGGTTTCGCACAACCCGTCCTGCTGGGAGTGGGGCGGGCAAGGGGGGGGAAGGGGCAGGGACCGCTGCAACTGGGGGAAGTGGGAGCACGGAGGAGGGGCGCAGGGAGAAGCGGCGAGTGGGGAGAGAGCGGGGGCGAGAGAGAGAGAGAGGGACGGAAAGATGGACGGAGGGAGGGAGGGAGGTGGACGCAGGGATGGGGGGTACGGCGAGGCGAGCGGGGGGGAGGGGAAAGGCCGAGGGGCGATGCAGGCGCGTAGCGCCCCGCACCTGCGGATAAGAGCGGGGGCGCGGCGGCGTCCTCGCCGAAAGCGTTCGCCCAGGACCCCCCCCGCCCCAAACCTCCCTCGGGAGGGTGTTTTGGAATGAGCCTTCCTAAAAACCGTCTTAATACCTTCCTCAGGAGGGCTTTCCTTTCGAAGAACCTCCCTAAAATCCTTCCGAAGAGACCTTCCTCGGGAGGTTTTGTTGTTCGAAAAACCTTCTTGCAACCTTCCTCAAGAGGGCTTTTTGGAAGAACCTTCCTCAACACCTTCTTGAAACCTTCCTCACGAAGGTTTTTTGTTGAAGAACCTCCCTAACAACCTTCCTAACACCTTCCTCGGGAGGCTTTTTGAAGGACCTTCCTAGAAACCTTCTTGAAACCTTCCTCGGGACTGTTTTTGTTTGAAGAGTCGTTGTTTTGGTGGTAACAAACCTTCATAACACCTTCCTCTGGCGTTGTATATGTATATATGTATGTATATATAATATATATATATATATATATATATATATATATATATATATATATATATAACGGCGCACCGGGTCCGGGGGCCCGGGGCCGGGACCTCGACCACAAATGTGTGCCCCGGGGGGCCCGGAGGCTCGTCGGGGCTTGCCGGAGGCCTCCCCGGTCAGACAAGACGGCCCAGGAGCGCCCAAGACGGCCCAAGAAACTTCCAAGAGGCCTCCAAGAGGGCTCCGAGATGCTGAAGATGGCCTCCAGACGTCCAAGGACGCCCCCAAGAGGCCCCAAGAAGCCTCCAACATGCGTCCCAAGAGGGCCCCTAGACGCAAAAATTGGCCCATTCCCTTCGTAAAACGTACATTTTTCAACAAAGTTGCTTTTTGGGCTTTCCGACGTTACAGGACGGCCCAAGAGGCGCCCAAGACCGCCCCAAGACGGCCCAAGAAGCCCCCAGGACAGCCCAAGAGGGCCCCAAGACGGCCCAAGAGGCGCCCAAGATGGCCCAAGAGGGCCCCAAGACGGGCCCGAGAGGGGGCCCAGAGGGTGACCACGAACCGCAAGCTCGAGCCTTCCGCCCCAAGAGGCCGCCAGGAGGCCCCCAGGAGGCCCCTCAAGAGGCCCCAGGAGACCCCAGACGTCCAAGACGCCCCCAAGACGCCCCAAGAAGCCTCCAACATGCGTCCCAAGAGGGCCCCTAGACGCAAAAGTTGGCCCATTCCCTTCGTAAAACGTACATTTTCAACAAAGTCGCCTTTTGGGCTTTCCGACGTTACAGGACGGCCCAAGAGGCGCCCAAGACCGCCCCAAGACGGCCCAAGAAGCTTCCAAGAGGGCCCCAGGACAGCCCAAGAGGGCCCCAAGACGGCCCAAGAGGCGCCCAAGATGGCCCAAGAGGGCCCCAAGACGGGCCCAAGAGGGGGCCCAGAGGGGGACCACGAACCGCAAGCTCGAGCCTTCCGCCCCAAGAGGCCGCCAGGAGGCCCCCAGGAGGCCCCTCAAGAGGCCCCAGGAGACCCCAGACGTCCAAGGACGCCCCCAAGACGCCCCAAGAAGCCTCCAACATGCGTCCCAAGAGGGCCCCTAGACGCAAAATTGGCCCATTCCCTTCGTAAAACGTACATTTTCAACAAAGTTGTCTTTTGGGCTTTCCGACGTTACAGGACGGCCCAAGAGGCGCCCAAGACCGCCCCAAAACGGCCCAAGAAGCTTCCAAGAGGGCCCCAGGACAGCCCAAGAGGGCCCCAAGACGGCCCAAGAGGCGCCCAAGATGGCCCAAGAGGGCCCCAAGACGGGCCCAAGAGGGGGCCCAGAGGGGGACCACGAACCGCAAGCTCGAGCCTTCCGCCCCAAGAGGCCGCCAGGAGGCCCCCAGGAGGCCCCTCAAGAGGCCCCAGGAGACCCCAGACGTCCAAGGACGCCCCCAAGACGCCCCAAGAAGCCTCCAACATGCGTCCCAAGAGGGCCCCTAGACGCAAAAATTGGCCCATTCCCTTCGTAAAACGTACATTTTCAACAAAGTTGTCTTTTGGGCTTTCCGACGTTACAGGACGGCCCAAGAGGCGCCCAAGACCGCCCCAAGACGGCCCAAGAAGCTTCCCAGAGGGCCCCAGGACAGCCCAAGAGGGCCCCAAGACGGCCCAAGAGGCGCCCAAGATGGCCCAAGAGGGCCCCAAGACGGGCCCAAGAGGGGGCCCAGAGGGGGACCACGAACCGCAAGCTCGAGCCTTCCGCCCCAAGAGGCCGCCAGGAGGCCCCCAGGAGGCCCCTCAAGAGGCCCCAGGAGACCCCAGACGTCCAAGGACGCCCCCACGACGCTTCGCGTCACCAATTTCTTCTCACAACGATTCCTGGGTCTGTGACTCGACAGAACCTAAGCGCGCGCGAAGCGCGCGCGTGGTTCTAGTGTATATATATATATATATATATATATATATATAGGAGTAGGGCCCCGGGGCGGTGCCTGTCATCTCCATGGGGGATGCAGGGCGCCCCCGGGCCGGGAGCGTCCGAAGCGTCCCGGAGGGCCCCTGGGACCGCCAGGAACAGTTCGAGACCGCCCAAGACGGCCCGCGAGCGCTCCAAGACGCGCATAGATAGCTTCAGGAATGGCCAGGAAGGCCCCAAGACGTTCCAAGAGAGCTCCATGAGGCCCCGAAGGCATCCCAAGAGGCCTCCCAAGAAAGCCCCGACAAACCAACATCGTTGATTTTTATTGTTTTTTTGTTTTTGGAGGTTCTTGGCCTTCTCGCTTTTTCGGAGTTCCGACGCTCCAAGGCCGTCCAAGAGTCTCCCAAAACCGCTCCAAGACGGCCGAAGAGGCCCCCAAGACCGCCCCAAGACGGCCCAAGAGACCCCCAAAATCGTCCCAAGACGGCCCAGGAGAGCCCCAAGATGGCCCAGGAGCCGCCCAAGACGGTTCCAGGAGTGCCCCGACAGGGCTTCAAGATTGCCTAAGCGAGCCCAGCGGTCCCCAAGAGGGCCCCGCGAGGCCCCAAGAGGCCCCAAAGAGGCCCCCAAGAGCCTCCCCGAAGGCCCCCAGGCCCCCAAGATGCCCAAAAATGGCCCTGAGCGCGCCCCAAGACGCCTCCAGGAGAGCCCCACAGGCCTCCGAGAGGCCCCAAAGAGGCCCACTGGAGGCCCTCAGGAGGGCGTCCCCATCATGTTCCCGGAAGGCTGTCCGGGAACATGATTCCGCGCCTTGGAGGAGTATTCTGCGCCTTCCGAGGCGCCTTGGACGACGTACGATTCATATTCTTGAACGCTTTCCAGGAACATGATTTCTCACCGTTTCGGAACGCTTTCCTACTGCTGCGGTGCTCTGCGGGGAAGGGACGGGGGTCCGGGAACATGATCGGGAGGTTAGGGAACGAGGGTTTGGAGAGGAGCAGTAGGACAGACGGACGGGGCCCGGGGGCGGGGGTGGGGTGGTGCCACCGGTTGGCATGGCCGCCCCGGGCGTCCTGTGGGGTCCACGAACCCGCCCAAGACGGCCCATGAGGCCCCAAAGACAGCCCAAGAGGCCCACAAGACAGCCTCAGCGAGGCCCAAGAGGGCCCCAAGACGCTCAAGAGCGCCCCAACAGGGCCCGAGATGGCGTGAAGATGGCCGAAGAGGGCCCCAAGAGGGTCTTCAAGAGGCAAACACCGGCTTATCTAAAGGCTGCCGCCTCTGCCGCCGACCCCAATTGATGCGACGTGTGTTTGATTCGTTTGCTGTCGGGGTGCTTCTCCGAGTCCGACAGGGTTCAGTTGACACATCCAGGCCTGAGAAGGTGGAAGGTAACGCCACGCAGTGCCGAAGCGCTCCCGCGGTGCGAGCGAAGGGGAAGATTCCGCGGGCAGTGTCCACAGGAGCGCCCCCTCGACGACAGAAGGCGGGAACTTACGCGAGTCTTTTCCTTGGCGCGCCCTCTGAATGGCAGGAATGCAGCACAACCGCGAAGGTATTTCCCGACTCGTTTCGTGAACGACAGAAAAGAAAGACTATCGCGTCTTGCTTCGCAGGCGCGTTCTCTGCGCATTGCGGCGTCGGTGTCTGGCCGCGAAGCGCGCCGCGTGGGGAGCGCCCGCACAGCGCGCTCGCGTCGTTCGCCGGGGATTGGCTCGAACCGAAAATTTGGGAGGCAACGCCGCAGAAGCCGCCCGAACATGGAGAGCGCGGAGACTATTGGCCATGGGATGCTGCGGTGGGCCGTCACGTGGGCCATGTACGCGTCGCCCGCGTTGTGTACAGAAGTCCGCGCGTTGGCAGAGGACGGTGACATTCTGGGGCGCTCCGAGAACAAGTGTGTCCAAATTGCAAGTGCGAAGATGCGTCGAGGACGGTGGCGGAGGGACGCTTTCAGAAGTTTCGCGCACAGTTGCGCCAATCACTTGGTCTCTGGAGAGAGCATGGGGGATCCTGGCGCGAGGTAAAACATGTTGGCCGCTGAGGCATGGTTGCGTTGCCAA